TTTCTTACTTAATGAATCATGGTACTAATCTATAAATCGAATAGCGCAAGAAGGCCACTAGCTTGCTATTGACAAAGACGATGGCACCTTAATAACGATGAAATCAACAAGAGAAAAAATAAATTTCTTATGCTATTAAAATTTGGCAATGTCTAGTTGGTCCCCGAAAATTTTTTTGGAGCAGATTCGACGCAAATTTAACATAAAATGCCGTTTCTGCGCAGTAACGCGCAAATATACCGGTTTGGCGCAAAATGCGCAGCACTTGAAGCCCTGCCAGGCGAAAGTTAGAAAATCTGTTTAAGATTGTTGAGAATTGGCAAAATAGTTTTTATTTCCGATTTTGGTCCAGTTGCTTTTATGCTGGATAGCGCTAAGACTATCTGATAAGATACATATATAAGTTTCAAAACATTTAAAAAAAAACAATAGTACTAAAAAAAAATTATTTATTAGAAAGAGTTAAGCATAGAACATCAACAAAAATACATTAATTTATAGCTGTGTTAAGTAATCCTTCACTTCTGAAGGAGCGAGGCGCTTAAAACCGCTTTTATTACAAATGCCAATCTCAATGTTGTCAGCAGTCATCTGTCCTTCGAAACCTTCTTTAAGTGTCAATATAGCAGTGTGAATAGCATCTTCTAACTCTAATTCTTCATTATATCTAAAATTTAATAAAAACAAAAATTTTAAATTACACTATATGCATTAAGATTATAGAATTTAGTTATGCAGAGTTTCAAATTTCATCTAAGTTATTAGGGTCGGTGTGTACAGCAACGTAAAATTTCATGCTAGTAGATCATGCAAGTTAAGATCATATTTATTATTATTTTAATATCTCTCCGATAATGAAAAAAACAAAGAAAAATATTTATTGTCCTTTAACTATGTTTAGAAAATACATTAAAATTATTTACTTAACAAACAAAAATGGAAAATTTAGTCCTAGGCTTTCAGACAACCTTTTTTCATTTTTTTTTAAATAAATAAAGTGTGAATTCAAGCTGGTAGATCATGCAAGTTAAGAGCATATACATTATTATTATTTTAATACTTCTCAGATAAAGAAAAATATTTATTGTCCTATAACTATATTTAAAAAAATATATAACATATAAAATAGTTAATATTTAAAAAAAAATATATTAAAATTATTTTCTTAACAAACAAAAAAGGAAAATTTAGTCCTAGGCTTCAGACAACTTTTATTCATTTTTTTAAAAATGAATAAAGGTTGAAAGGAATTTTTTTTCCTTTCCTTGAATGAAGATTTCTTTATTCTAGGCCCAGATCAGAAAAATTATCTTTCTTTTGTCTATTTATGAAAAAAGAAAATTTTTCAACACATTAGCCCTGATTTACTGTGTAAAGAATCAAGGTCACTAATAAAATCACTCTATTAAAAATCAGCCATTTTTTAAAATCTAATCTGCAAGAATGGAATCATAATATATATATATATATATGCTAAAACCAACTCTTTCATAAAATCAATATCACTGTTTTATGTAATTAAATTTTAACAAGGCAAGTGTTTAAAAAAATAAAAAAACTCAGATTTTCCTTATTTGAATATATAGAATTGTCAGTTTTCTCAAGTTTTGTTATAAATAAATAATTTCACTTCGACCTCCTAGAACAAAAGGAATGTTACAGGTCTTTACTACATTTCCATACATGACAACATTGGAGAAATAAAATAATGGAGATTTTACACTTTTTAGGCTACAAGTAAAGTTTTGATACATCATGCACAATTATGTAAGTCAAAAAGAAAATTCAAAATGGGAAATTATAACCACTTACATTAGCGAAGTAAAAATATGTATATAAATCTTAATATAAAGAAGATTTCTTTTAAACCATTATTTATAATTCCGTAAACTATTAACCCTCAACATACTGCAGAATTGGTAAAAGCACAATCTGTTGAGAAATAAGATAAGTATTTTTTTGCCATCAGTGGATATTTTAATGCCAAAATTAATTTTTAAAAAATTTCTTCAACAAATACGGAGAAATTTGAGAATATACAGGTAAACAGGAGACCTGGCAGGTATGCATTTCTTATGAAAATGGAAGGGCAAGAAAAATTTTTTTTCTTAAAACAAACATGATCTTAATAATTGATGGGTAATGTATATTTTGATTAAACAAAAGTGTGAATTCCATGAAATGGTGATATATCAGTAACATACGAAAATTTGTGTTAGAAATATCTCCATGTATCTGATATATCTAATATATCACACACATATATGTAAATTTTAAGGAAAAAAATATTTTAAATGCTCATGCATACATTTCATTCAGAAATGAATCTTGATAGGTAGTGTTATCAAAAATGATTAAATAAAATTTAATATAATAAAATATAAATACTAAAATAAATAAATAAAAATTATTTGAGACGTGGTATCTGAATGGTTTCATGTAAATCTATGTTCCTATTTGAACCTTTATACTGAATTTTTCAGAATGAGAACAAGTAAGAATATATTTGAATTGGATCATATTTTTACAATTAAACATAGGGGGAATTATTTTAAGGACACATAGTTAGCAGTTAAAAGAAATTTGCTTTGGACATACCATACCTAATAAATAAAACATTTTTTTAGAAATTAAAAGAAAAAAATAAACACTGTATATGACTTATAATTTGCCAGTGGCAGTTCCCCCCCCCCACAATGAAAAAAAAAAGAAGACTTATTTAAGAAAATGTTTGGAAAAAAATAATTTTACAGCATTGGGATTTCACATTAAATTGCCATCACATTAAAAAAATATATAAGTAACCATTAATAAATAATTCATTCATCACAAAAATAAGAAAGAAATCATAAAGTTAAACATATATAAGGGAAAGAAAAAAAAGATCGATATTGCTATTTGCTAATATAAAATAAAGTGCCTTGCTGGCATTAGGTTTGCGGGGGTTCCAATTGGAGAGGAGGGGATACAAAAAGTGGAAAATCCCATTAGATTTTTCACCTTTGGTATTTCAACTTATTTAAAAGACTATAATTGTGAGCAAAATAAAATTACCTTTTCTCAAGAAAGGCTTTTCCATTCACATGATTCTTTCCCATTGCAGTGGCTTTCCAAGCAAAATAGGCACCCTAAAAAATATAAAATTTAACTTTTTTTCAAACTTCTCAAAATAAAACAAAAGTTAACAAGTCACTTTCAGATTGCTAGAAATTGAAAGTAATAACAATAAGAGAGAAACAAAACCAAAACTTACAGAGGGATCACATTGAAACAGGTATGGTCTGTCGCTATCCCATCCACAAATCAAAAGAGAAACCCCAAAAGGCCTCACACCACTGAAAATTCAAATCAAATCAATCAATAAATGAAACAAAATGCATCCAAGTGCATACTTCTCTACTTGTATGATTTAAATGAACAAACAAAGCTTGATTTTTAAAGTTTCAAAGGAAACTGTTTTACCCAACTTTGACTATTTTAATAATTAAAACAAATTTAAGGAACTTAATTCATAGTACTTTCAAGTGTAAGCAAAGAAGCTTCATTTTCAGAAAGTTTTTTTTTTTTTTAGTTCAATAAATATTTCACTACAACTTTGTTCAATCTTTTCTCACGACTATACAACCAATAAAGTGCAAAGTTTAACACAGTGAAAAAAAATTTTTATTTCATAAAATTAACACTGAAGGAGGAAATGCTGCTCATAAAAAATAATAGTATAATTAAAAAAAAAGATAAATATTAATGTCATTAATACTACAAATTTAATTATTACTTATTAAAGTAAAATTTTTTTATATGGGTTAAAATTTCACTGCAATTTTTTAAAGACAAGTTTAGTAAGATATTAATTTTGTTTTTGATAATTTTTTTAAAGCAGATATTATAGTAAATGCCAAGCAAAATGCTCTAAAGCTATCAAAATGAGAAAAAAAAAATAATAATTAAAACATTTACAGTTGAAAATTCACAAGTTTTATTTTTAAAAATAAATACTCAATAATTGAAGTTCATGAATTTTTTCCCATGATTTTCAACTCAAACATTAAAGAAGTTTTCAAATTGTTTCTTACTTAATGAATTTTTTTTAATAATTGCATCGAATTAATCCTTGATTTGAAATAGAAAAGTCACTTATAGGTGGTCAGTATCAGACCTCAATATTGCACTCTCTACATTTTGCAGCTCGCTTACAAAAAAGGTAATGGACTAGTTTTAAATTAAAAATAAATGACGGACAGCACATACAATAATTATAAACACATTAGAACACAAGTCACATTTCTTATGTGAGTTTAGTACTTCTATTGAGTAAATTACTCGGTTACACAATACCAAACTGAATGTTAACTTTTATTTAGATAAGAAAACATGAAAATAAGCATAAAAACAGTTTAATCAAATAATGATGACTATACTACAGTTATGAATACTATTGCAGACAATTACATGCAGAATTTAAAATGAATGAAAAAAAATTACCCCGATTGAGTATATTCTTGCATAATATAGGCAACTCTTTGAACTAGCTGACTGGTTGGAATAGGCTCTCCATACCTCAAATAATACTGTTGAGCTAATTTACGAGCTCGTCTAACTAATAATCTAGAAAGAAAAAAAAGAGAAAGAAATCAGACACTTTTTCTTTACATAAGAGCAAGCTTGGAAATAAATGTTTTTGCAAAATTAAATAATTTGGACTTTGGGCTAATGCAAGAGTAAGTTTTGTATTTATTGCATTGGTGATTGGTGGTACACATGCACACACACATTGTAAGGGGTAATTGTAAGCTCAACTCAAAAATCCTGAAAATTTCCTGAGTAAAATCACTAATGATCCTTTTAAAAAAATTAGATGTCTTTATAAATTTAAATCATCGATATTTTCACAGCATGAAATTCTAAATAAGTTATATGCAACATAATTTAAAATAATTATGTATAAGTTTACTTTTATCTCTAATCACATCTATTATTCTACCACAAAATACATTTACAAATGAAAGAAATGCCAAGCATAAATTCTAGTCCTAATATTTATTTTTATACATAAACGTGATTGATGATCTGGGTCTTGGATCCTCGGATGGCGATTAGCGAAAAATTCGGAAGTCCGGATTTCTTTCCGGAGCTGAATCACCTCTGGATTGTAGAAGTAGCAATTCATTTACATTCCAATGGAATGTATTGATTATGAATGGAACGATTCCATTAGAGCTGCACAATGGGCTATAGGCAACTGCAGGGGAAACCTCTTTGAGGATGATTCGAAGACATACCATCAGGGGTAGCAGCAAAGTTTTTAAAAATTTTATGGTAATTTTAGGAACTTTTTTCAAAAAATTTTAGGGGTAATACATGATTTTGCTAGGATAAAAACAGATTACATGGTAGTTTATTACATAACAGAAGATTATTACAATTCATCCACACATATCATAAATAATTGCAAGCCATAAAATAAAGCTCTGAAATTTATTAAGTCAAGAATGAAATCTCTAAAGTGTAAAAATAAAATTTCAACTTTACATATTACCTATCAGAAATTAAGTGCATAATTCAGGAACAGGCAAAAGTGAGAATAAATCAAGAGAAAAAATAAATTAACACCAACTTGGATTTTTATTTAATTTTTACCTTCTTAATCAAAACTTTATTATTACCCTTTACCTTACTTTATTAAGAAAAACTATTGTGTGATATTATTAGATTTCAAATCAGCAATTTATATTAGAAGTTAGAGAAAAACAAACTAATCATGATCATTTTTCTAATATATTCTTGATATGATTTGTGAGATTCTTTTACTGCCCTAAATAGTGTTGTGGTGATCGTCAACACTCCTCCATAATTTCGAATGGTATCTTTGATTAGTCTAAGAGACATAATAGTATTCTCATGCTGACTCACATTAAGCATTGCTTTATTTATCAAAAAACCTCTCTCAGGATCAGAATTCCCATGTGGCAAAATTAAAACAGTTTTAATTAATGTAGTTAAATTCTTATATTTTAGATTATTGCCTTTTTATTTATATTCAACCTATAACTCTAATTTTTTAGGAACACCAACAAAATGTTATCAGATTTTTAGGGTTTGCACATAGTTTCAGGAATTTTAGGGGGAATGCGACCCCTGTACCATAACAGTTTTGATCCTCTGCAGAGGAGAGGAGACCACACGCTTATAGCATAACAAACACAACACTGAATAACAACCTTGTAAAACGTAACCAAAACAAAACTGATATAGAAATACACCATAAAAGATGTCAAATACACCCTTAAATTTACTGAGATCATTTAGGATTAATCAGTGGTGAAAAATTAACTATTATGTCCATAACAATCTTAAATTTAGCACTACTCTACTTTATAAAATACCTTGATTACTTCACGAGGTAAAGATATGAACAATGACAAAACACTGTGTTTAAGGTTGAAACACTTGGAAAAGGTAATACCTGTAATCAGGTCCCATGCCGCTGTAAATCATTCCAATGTGGTTTGTAACCATTTCAACTTTGTGTATACTATGTTCTTCATACAGAACTGATTTGTAATTTTTTTCAGTTGCTAAGACAACACCATTTGAAGCTGCAAAACATAAATAGAAAATTAGAAATAATTACGTTGCTGACATAAGGAATGCATAATGAAAGTAGATGTAACACTATGAAATAAACTCATTAACAAAAACAAATTCCACATCTGATTTTGATAGAATAATATTATCGAAACATCACACCTTAAGTATAATGTTTCAATTGCAGTCGTCCAAGTATCGAGAGTCACAATCGAAGCAAATAAAAAACATGCAAATAAGTGTCTACTCACAATGGCTGTTTTATTTCAGCAAAAAACTGCATCTTTTGAAGAAATGGAATATTCCATTTAGTTTTTGAAATTTGAACGCTTTAATAGAGTGTAAAAAGACACTAAATATCACAAGAAAACTTAATAATTAGAAGTTATCAACCATTGGAATGATTGCGAAGTTCGAAGCAACTTTCAAAAAGTTGCAGGACTCTGAACAAGCATTATAAATTGAGTATTAGTCAAATAATTAAAAAGTTGAAATTTAACATTTTGTTACTCAAAAACCAATCAATAAAAAAAGAAAAAGCATAAACTAGATTAGAAATTATATCAGCCAGGATTAAGAGTTTTTACTGCAGATAATCAAAAAGCTTTATCAGAGATATTTTTATTACAGTTGGAAAGTCCCATACAGTGTTTTCATCATAGAAAAAAAATGGGTGAGAATTTCTCACCCTTTCTCAAAAACAGGGTGAGATTTCAAAAACTTAAGTGAGATTTCTAAAAACTAAAAAAACACAAAAATTCTTGAAAAAAAAAAAAATAATTTCTTTAATTATAATACATTTTTAATGTCTTCTATTTTTTAAAGCATTGAATATTTTAGGTGCATCATCATAGAAGATTTTGCCTTTACAAGGTATTTGTCCATCTTACATTAACACATAAAAAGTTTGAACGTCTTACATGAAGAAACCTAACCTACGGTAAACATGTGGTTGCAGAGAAATGTGTTCTGAAAGGGGTTCTGTGGTTGTGTTCTGTTGNATGAAGAAGATAAGAGAATATAAAAGTAGATAAAAAAAGTAAAATGAGTGTTTTGGTGTAATTACATACGCACATATAATACGTACGTAAATTGCTTGTTTTGGTACATTTCTTTTGTTAAAACTGAATAGCTGAATTTTACTGATTCTGACTATTAATTTGAAATCCTATCACGTTTGGGGATACAAATAACTTTCTCGCAAGGAGAAAAAAAAAAAGTTTATATCTGCGTTAGTCAAAACAGCGTTAAGTGTTCCTAAGCGTTAAGTGTTACAGCTTCAATTGTTATATCATATTATCATTTTTGTATAGAAAATTGTTTGTCAGGATCTCGAGAATGAGAAATTCGCGAAAATTGTGAAATAAAATCACTAAGATTTGACAATTTTAACTAGGATTCCCAGGAAGAAAAAAAAAGAAGGAAATTTTTACAGGAATTACATAAAGGAAATTATGACAGAGAATTAAGCATTTTGAATTGAAAATACATAGATTTCGCACTTTTAAGTGGAATCTCTCGCGCATACCCACTAAGTCCTGTTCAAAATCTCAGTTCTCTAGAAACCTTGCACAAAACCTAATTACGGGAGCTTCCTGGATACAACGTGAGAGTGCAGAATCTCTTTAATTTATATTTTCTGTTCCTCTTCCATCTATGAAAATATTATGAAAATATTTTCCATTATGAAAATATTTTTGCATAAAAAACAAACTCATACTTTAAAATAAATGCAAGCACCAATTTAAAAGAGGGTTTGCAATTCTTACTGTTTTAAAAAAAAAAAAAAAAAAGAAAAAAAAAAAGAGAAAAACTTATGATTTTACCGAAATTTTCAGTATGACGCAGAAATGAAGAGGGCTTCTATTAAACTTTAATCTTCACTTTCTTTCAGAAATTAAGATTGACTTTTCTCTTTTGTTTTTTGTATACAATCTTTCTGTTTTACAGGTGTTTATTATGGTAACAGTATTCAAAACTTTTTTAAGTGTTTCTGATAGACATTAAAGTTTTGTTTTAAGAATTAAGAGGATTCTTTTTACTATTTCATTTTCTTCCTTTCAACTTTAGTTTCTTTAATCTTAAATATTTCTAACTTCATTAATATCTAGTTATTTTAAAATAAATAAAAAGAGTTGCCTTTTGGCCGCCGAATATTCAGTATTTGGCCAAATCACTATTTTGTTACATCATTTGTTAAAAGTATCACCACAGTACTAGTAAGATCAATAAAAGTACTGTTTTAGCCCTAAAAAATATGGTTTATTTGCTAACCAGTACTTATAAGCTTGATTACCCACACATAACATAAGTATTTGTTATAATTCGACTCTAACTATAAATTACAAAATTAAAACAAAAGCATGATTAGAGTTTATAGTAAACTTTTATTTCAATTTTCTAGAACTTTTTTAAAAATAAAACAATACCTTTTATGCCAACAGAAGGAGCTCCAGCCGCAACAGCTGCCAGAGCATATTCAATCTGGACTAGTTTACCAGAAGGACTGTAAGAGATAAAATAAGCTTGAGTTTAGTATTTCAAAACAGCTTACAAAACAATAGTTTTCTGACCAAACAGTACCTAAGCAATTGGTCAAAGTTTTGAAAATTCAAAATACCATTTGCCTCCGTTCATACCTGTACATCATTACTATGAGTTTTCACTGAACAGAGTATAGAATTTGCTGAGAAAAAGTTTAGAGCACAGAAGAATTAACCAGATAATATATATCATACACTGTGCTATTTTATCTTACTAAAATTATCTATTTTAGAAAAAATTTATAAATAGGTAATACTCCTATATGGTACTTGTTTGTGTCAACAACAATTGCCAAAAGAAACAAAACTATCTTCAAAAAATTTGTAGTTGTTTACCCAGGAAGGATTAATAGCTTGCCCCTGAAGTTCGTACTCTTTTTCTTCCTTGCCTGGTTGTGGCTAAAATTTGGTACAGATACATAGGTTACAATCTATAAATCTTCTCTGCTAACGAACAATTTAAAAAATCACAGGTCTTTCAAGATTGCACGAGTGACTTAATAAACATTGCAAAATAGATAGGTAATCTACTTAATACTAAGTCTCATAATCCAGTACTTATGCAAATAGAAATTTTTAAATAAGCATTTATAAATGAATTCTAATACAAACAGTATATATATATAAAAAAAAATTGGTCAGTTGTTTTGTTTTCCAATCTCTTTGGATCTTTTGTATACCATTTAAATCTTGTGAAAGGTTATTTTCAGAGTATAAGCAAAATTACTAAAAAACGGTAGTTTCACAAAATACTGTTTTTTAAAATTTTATTTTTGTATTCCTTAAGAAACGATTAATCTATATTTTTACCATGTTTTTGCGTTGATTTTTCACAAATTATGTCTGAATTTTCAAAAAATAGGTACCTTTCAGAAAAACCTAGACAAACCCCTGATGATAGAAAATTTATTTTTCACTCACCTTTATTTATATAGATTAAAAAAANAAAAAAAAAAAAAAAAAAAAAAAAAAAAAAAAAAAAAAAACAGATTATTTTATTAGCTGTAGTTTGGTAACACATTCAATTCATCTTAAGTTTAAAATCATAGGTAGAGAAATTATTAAAACAAGCAAACGTGTTATCTGTTTTTATAAAGCAATTTTTATTCAGATTTCTTATTTTATATGTAAAATCCTTATTTAAAAACCTATTATGTCTTAAAATTTTCTTTCTAAAATAAGTTAGAATAGTTTTATTTGAAATAGAATACAGGCCAATGTTCATTGCTCAATGTTTAAAATATAATATTTGCATAAAAATGTTTCTTACGAACTATTATTTAACAAAACCAAATTTTATGTCATGAAAAATACTTCTTTCTTGATTAACTATGTAATGAATCCAATATAGCTTTGTTTATTTTTGCATTTCACAAAAAAATTTAAACAAAATATTCCAAGGCTTTTCCAAATAGTGACAGATGCTACTCCTTCCACCTGATTGGGTAAAGGCAAAATATCAGTGCAGATACATCCGATCAGCTTGGTCTTGCTCTAGTCTCGTTGAACATCGGCAAAACTGTGTTTGAGCAATTCAGCCTAATTTTTTTTTGCTTAGACTGGGTTTACATAAACTGTGGAACTGAGGTTTAAACTGCAGAGTTTATACTGCGTTCTGACAATTCAGCGCATATGTTAGATAATTACTAAATAGGATTTTTTTTGGTTTGATCTATTGTAATAGAAGTTCTTCTATTGATCTTTGTAATAGAAGTTCTTCTATTGCAGTTCCTCTTTGATCTATTGTAATAGAAGTTCCTCTGTTGATCTTTGTAATAGGGCCATTCTCCACTGTAAACACTCTAAACTTCAATGCTAGACTCTACCAAAGANGAATTGTAAAAAAAAAATTTATTACCCCATTATTTTACTATTTTTATAAACTTCAAAGGCCTGCAAATGTCCCGTGCATAACAGGAGAATGGCCCCATAGAAGTTCTTCTATTGCAGTTCCTCTTTGATCTATTGTAATAGAAGTTCTTCTATTGATCTTTGTAATAGAAGTTCTTCTATTGCAGTTCCTCTTTGATCTATTGTAATAGAATCATTCTCCAGGGGTGATTGTGAGTCAAACTCAAAAAACCTGAAAATTTCTTGAGTAAAATCATTTATGACGCATTTCAAAAAATTAATGTATTTATAAATTTAAATCATTGCTATTTTAAAAACATTAATTTCTAAATAAACTAGGTATATACAGCATAATTTAAATGAATAACTATTAAGTTTACTTTTATCTCTAATCACATTTATTTTTCTATCAGAAAAAATACTTACAAATGAAAGACGCCAAGTATAAATTCTAGTTCTAATATTTTTAAATAAAATATACAAGAATTTTTATACATAAATGTGATAGGTGATTTCGTGAAACTTCTGGACCTAGAATTTCTGTAAACTTTCGGAGTGCGGTTATGGAAAAATCTGGATTTTTTTTCCCGGAGCACCCCTCTCTTTCGTTTTATGATGGTGACTGCTCATACATTAATTAACGACAATAAGAAAGTTTTAGGCTGATCCTTTTTCATTTGCTGTTCGTAGGTTTTGTTCATTTGCTGTTGAAACAAGACATTATTTCTCATTCTGTACCACAAGAATACGTAAGCTTGAGTTAAAGATTGTTATATTGTATATATTTTTTTAATTGTCTTTCTAGATTTATATGTTTTAAATAAATTGTTTTGGATTAGATTTTAAATAAATTGACAATTTGTTTCAGTCTTAATGATAGTTAGTATTAATTCACATTGACATTCTTTCTACCTACTATTTTGTTTTCAGCTGTCATTAGACTGAACCTAAAAAGGAAGTTATGACGGGTCTTTTACAATGCATAATTTTTCATTGCAAGAAGAAAAAAGTAAGAAAAGCACTACAGATCTATTTAAACAATTTTTTTTTGTTGTTGAGTTTTGTATAAATATCAGAATGATAAAATAATCTTAATCTTTGATGCAACTGTTTAAATAGTTGTATATAATTATTTGCCTCTATTTTTCAAACATAATTTTTCTCTTTTTTCGTCTAATAATTGATGGAATGCCTATAATATGCACATAGACCCACTTTCGGTAAAAAAAATGACCTAGAAATCAGAATGATTTGATCTGTTGTTTCAAAATTACATTGGAATCATCTGAGATAATATTTTTAAAGTTTATATGAGCCTCATTTTGGAACTTTTTTTTAAGAAATTGACTTATACAAAAGATAATATATCAGAAAGAGAAATCTCTTGTAACAGTATCAGCACCAAAAAGTCACAAATTTTTACAACAGATGAGCAAGGGCAGTTAAGAAATTAAAGAAACGGGAAAAAAATATTACAGAAAGAGACCAACTTGAAGACACCACCCAGAAAACCACAACTAATTTTTATTTTCATTAAAAAAAAAAAGGCACAAAACCCTCTTGGCACATTGGTAAAGGTAGAAAACGAGAACAGAGACACACATGGAAATAAATTAATTTAAAAAAAAAAACATGCAAATAATAAAAATAAATAGAATTACAGAGTAAACAAAAACAACTTTACCATAGTACTTGAATTAAAATGCAAGGAATATCCTCTTTATAGCTTTTAGAAAACAACGCATAAATAGAAGTAAATTTTTTACACCAATACGTCCTAACTTTTCCTACATCATTAGGAAAAAACAACTTTTAGTCTTGATAATAAATTTTAGTCTATCATTGTGTTGGCAAATTTGAAAAAAAATAAAAAAAATTTGCATTACCAGGGGTCTTTCTTGACCGAATTTATTAACGTTTAGCGGTACCTTCACAAATTCAACTTTATGAAAAACGGTAGTTTCACAAATTTAATTTTAGGAAAAACGGTAGATTCACAAAATACTTTTTCTTAAAATTTTATTTCTGTATTTCTTAAGAAATGATAAATCCATATTCTTGTCATATTTTTGTGTTGGATTTTTAAATATAATTTTTCACAAATTATGTCCAAATTTTCACAAAATAGGTACTGATCAGAAAAACCTAGACAGACCCCTGATTACTGATCTTGTCTTAAGTATTCATATCTTCTCACATCTGATAATATAAAATAGATCAGCATTTTTCGATGCTGATTTGTTTAATTCTCAGTTGAAAAATCTCAATTAATACAGTAAAAGGAATCATAATTATAGACAACAAAACTAATCACAATAATAATTGCGTTGAGTAAGGAGAAAGAAAAGGGTACTTCATTATGACAATAATAATTATTGGAAAACTAATGGGTAATCAAAGAACTGGAATTTTTTTTTACCAGTTGACATGAATGGCAAATTGATGTTTTTTCAAAAACTAAAGGGAATAAGCGAAAGAAATAATTACCTAAAGGTGGTTAAGGAGAAACTATAACGTTCTGAAGCCATTACAATGTGATCTTTTATTGAATCTTAAAAGTTTTTGTTACCATTAAATCAAGACAACCAAATATGAAAAATGAAAATCATTCAACTCCGGCTTTAGTAGTTAAAGTTACAGTGATTGCATGCTTTGTTTATGCCGTTTATTTCCTTCAATATAATTCTCAGATCCAGAATCAAACTTTTATTTAAAAGTATAGATCCTTTTTAAATTTATTTTAAGAGGTTTTCTTTTCCAAAATAATTCAATATACACAAAAAAAAACTTCTCACTGAATTTTCGCAGAATTCACTTTAACCGTTACGTAAAATTTGTAGCAGAATTTAAATTCTGACTAAACGTAAATATTTATGCAATTTTATTGACAAATTACGATTGATTTCAATTGTTCCTGATTATATATATCAAATGTTTGTCACATGATTCTGAAAATAAAATTTTATTAATTGTCATTATGAGTGGAATTAATATGGCGAGAACTATATTTGAAAATTTTCAAGAAGAAAGTAGGATGTCCTCTGTAGCTCTTCATCAAGCAAATAACCGTATAAAAGATCTAGAAAAACAGGTGCAAGATTATCAAAAGATTAAAAGTATCCTGGAAGATAAAATTCGTTTAGGTTCTAACAGTTCCTTAGAAGACGCTGTCCGTCAGAAAGACATTACAATAAAACATTTTGAATTGCAGCTTAAAAAATCATTACAGCAAAACGAGGAATTAGAGTATCAAATAATTGCTCTTAGATCAAAACAATGTCCGTGTTGTGACACAAATGTGCATTTAGATTTCTCTGCGAAAAAATCACCCGTAAAAAAATCATCTAAATGTGTAAAACAGTATACCAACAAAAAAGTCGGACATCGAGACTATGCCGATCGGCAGTTGATGTTGGAAAGAATAATCGATCACAAAGATAAACGGATCGCTCACTTGTCTAAAGAGGTTACAAGACTGTCTGCAATTGAAAAAGACTTGACTAACAAAATGTATCGACTTTCTAAACTTTTACCTAAGTCACACATGCCTTCAGAAGTGTTAGTTGATTGCTTATTGAAAGAAATTCAAAGCTTAGAGTCCCAGATACAATCATGTAATAATAAAAATGATAAAATTGCGAGTCTGAGTGACAAGACAAATATACCAGATATCTTTCCCGGAACTTCCAATTCAAAAGAGAATATACCAGTTGGTTCAAAGCACATTTCTTTGGATAGGATGCAAAAGAGAATTAACACTCCAATGGATGGTAAATCAACTTATAGCTTAAACTCATTGTTTGATGATATTAATGAACTCAAATATGTATTTTTGAATGAAAATGAAAAATTCCAGCACAGCTTGAATCGCGATCACATGAGGCGTGATGTAATCAGAGTGGAATATAATGATATTATAAACAAGTTAAATGGTATTGCTGAATCTATTCAAAATATTATTAAAGTTGATTCGTCTTTTCAAGACAAACAATCATCAGAAAATGAAGTAGATAAAGTTATATTGCAGTTACGAAAAGATCTGCAAGACAATTTAGAACTGTCTTCTGGGTATAAAAATGAGAATGAATGCTTACGGAAAAAAGTCATTGAGCTGACCCAAAAGCTGTTACAATCAGAAAGAGATAAGATTGATTTTACTGATAAGTCTGTCCAAGTTGTCAATGATAATTTGCCTGTCACTCGTTCTGACTTCAAATATCCAGCTCAAGATGACTTGGAAAAGTTAAGAGAGCAGCTAGACTTAAAAAAGTCTGAATTAGATTCTGCTCGTAATTATATCAAATCTCAACAAAATTTTATTTTAGAACTACAGAGTAGTCTTCAGAAGAGTGACAGTCACGAGTCTGTAAATTCGCAACCAGTCAGAGCTGCACGACAAATGGAAATACCAATCCACAGAAGTTCACAAGTTCCATCTGCAATTGCAACTAACTTTGGAAGCAATTTTCCTGCTGCAAAAAATTTCGCTGATCAAGGTTTTGAAGTTCCCTCAATATCCTCTAATGATTCTTCTGATAGTTGCATATTACATTCATGCAGTAATGATAAAAGAGTCAAATCATTAGAAACAAAATTAAACGTGTCCGAAAAGAGCATCAAAAGTCTCGAGACTCTTATTGAAAATCTTCAAGCCCAAAATGCCGCATTGACAGAAAATAATGGCCAGTTATATGTTGATTTAAGTAAAGCTAAAAGTGAAAAAGCTTTGCTGGAGAAAAATAAAGACATATATTCTTCGCTAAAGTTAAGGATGAATGATTTAAATAGAGAATGTGATGAAATGAGGGATGAAAATCAGGAGCTTTGTGATAAAAATACCCGATTGGAGAAAGAAAAAAGAATTCTGGAGGAAAAATTACAAACTTGTGAAACAGAGAGAAAATCTTTAAATTCAAGTAAATCTTCATTTCAAATGAAGTTAGATGAGGCAAACAAACACAATGAATCACTAGAGGAAAATCTAACCGAGTTACAGAATGAAATAACGAGTTTAAGAGAAGAAAACAAAAAATTAAAATCGAGTAATCTAAACAGAGATTATAATGAAAAAATTTTACACATGCAGCAAGCCCTTAAACAAAAAGAAAATGAAGTTGACGATTTAAAAGAAGAGATGCATGCCCTAGAGACTCAAGCGTTACAGATGAACAGTTATCGAAGGCACTTCCGAAATGAGTTGAAAAAACTGTGTGATGCTTTAATGGAAGAAAGTGACACCAACGTTAGCTCTGCACAGAGTAAAGCTATCTATAAAGCTGCTATACTTCGCTCTCTTAAAGCTTTATTACAGTTGGATATAAATGATGATAATCTTACGGATTCTTCAAATAGTGCATTGGATGAAATAAGGAATCAATATAACATATACCTCACGGAGGTAAAACGCATTAGCGAATTACTTTCAATCAAAAACCAACAAAGAGAGGAATTATTGAGGGAATATATAAACATTGATGATTTTGGAGAAGTAGATGCTTATCTTAGTCTTGAAAGAAATTTATCTGGGAGTTCTAATTCAGCTTCTGGTGAGGAATCACCACCCATAATTCCAACTGTTTCAGGAGTGGGATCAATATCTTCTAGTGTGCAATCAATGCCAGTTATTTCAGTAGCATCTGGCATCAGATCAATACCAGTTGTATCATCTTCTGGTGTTCAATCTATACCTCACATTTCAACAGTCTCTGGTATAGGATCAATACCAGTTGTGTCATCATCTTCTGGCATAAGATTCGCACCTTATGTTTCATCAGCTTCTAGAGTTGGGTCGATACCTGTTATTTCAACTGCTTCTGGAGTTGGATTAGTACCCGTTATTTCAACTGCTTCTAGAACAGGATCTGCTTCTTCTGCAGAAGGTGTTGGATTTTCATCTGGAACGCATACACATGTTAATGAGGAAAGGATTCAAACGGAAAACAATACCATTCAAAACTATGCTGGATCAATGTCGGAAGTGATGAAAACTTTGCAAGAAGACCTGCAGCGTCAAAAGAACGTAACTGCCTTTTTTGTGTCCAAATGTGTGAATCTTGAACAGCAGCTCAAATCGGAACACGATTTTAAATGCCGAAATGAAAGAGATAATGCATCACATGAAGAGTTCATGAAAGAATTTAAAAAGCAATTGAAAGAAAAAGACCATAGGATAAGTCGTTTGGAACAGCAGTTTGTTAGTTTACATACAGAAAAATCAAGTGTCGAGATTGGTATGGAGCAACAAAAAAGTGAAATAGAATGGTTGGTGAATAAAAATAGACAGTTATTTGAAAAAGTGACAGCAACTGAAACTGAGTTATGTAAGTCCAAAGAAGAAAAGAGTCGAATTATAAATGAAGTTGATCATCTGAAACGTGAATTAATTAATAAAAAGTATGAATATGCAAAAGTTGAAAATGAAGTCAAACATTTACGAGAACATATAGCACATTGTGAATCAAGTGCTTCGATTAGATAATTAAGGGATAAATATTTCATCTACTTGTTCATAAAACTTTTTGCATATCATGCTTATTATCATTGAAATATTTGTCGTAATTTTATTTTTTTTCCTTCGATTTTGACGAAAATTTAGAAATTGGTGTTTTTATTTTTAAATTACTTATAAAATTATTTTATAATAAATTATATTGATCATTTTAACTTATTTTGAATTTTGTTTATTGTGACATGAAACTAATTTCTATCTATTTTTTATTTTCAAATGTTCCTAGTAGTGTATGTGATATGTATCTATTAATTTAAATATATGTTTTTTTGAAGTATATCTATATATTTGTATAGTTAAACTAGTGCTACTGCCATGAAGTTAACAAGCATATAGTGTTAATTATTTCTTGTAAATCATCTGCAATGTGATTGAATAAAAAAGTTGTTTATCAATAATTGAATTCTATATTAAGATACTTTTTTTTTAAATGTTTAAATCTATCAAGTGTTCTACAAATGTTATTGGTACTTTAATAAGTATTTGAATTGGATGCACTTTTAACTAAAAGCTCTGTATATTTTCTATCTAAATTAAAAAATCATGAGGTTTGACACTGTTTTAGAAGTTCAACTTAACGTTATATTTGTTTTGCTATGCCAAAACTGTAAGACCCCCGTGGCAGCACGATGACATTGTCTCATAGTTCTTGCAGAAAGATTTTTTATTTGGTAAGCAAAAAATTTTGATTTTTTTTTATCTGCAGAATTTTTGTGAAGATTTTTTTTCTGCAAAGTTTTTATTTCTTCCTATTCTGCAGAATTATTTTCAAAAAATGCCTTTCTTGCACATCAAAGATGGAAGAAACGTTCATTATTTTTTTTTTGAATATTCCCTTTGAGAATAAGAAAAATTACGCAATGACTGATTGATATTGTAAAAGCTAATTTCCAAATCAATAAAATTTTAAAAAGTAAACTACACAAAAAAGTTTTAGAACAGGAGAATATAACCAATAATATCAGAATGTATATTCTTTTATATGTATATTAAAAAAAAAATCTTACATTTATAATTAAAAAATTTTTATACTGTTCTATTCTGTACATAAAGTTTTTTTTTTTTTTTTTTTTTAAANTTTTTTTTTTTTTTTTTGTAAACAGGAAATGCTTCTTTAACTTGAAATTAGTAATATATATACAGGTTATCTGCGCACCTGGAAAGTCATGAAAAATCATAGAAAGTTATGAATTCCGATATTCAACAAAATTTGTCATGATTTTAACTATTTTTAAAATGGAATTTCCCCCCTCCCTATTTCACAGTGTTCCGATGTTTCAAATGTCTGAATTAGTAGCAAAATATAGTCATTTTTTACTCATAGTTATTTTTTATTAAAATACAAAATTTTTTTATCCTGTTCTTTAAAAATTATGGTGTTCTTTCAAAAAATGAAAGAAAGAACATCATTTCTAGAGTGAATTATCTTTTAAACTCTGAGATTTCAGAATTTTTTTATTTTGCCAATTTGAAATTCTAGTTTGGGCTACATTTACACTTAAAGTAAAGAAGAAATAAAACAGCTTTAAATATCTGACAGTATTTAGTTATTTGCTTTAGTATATTTTTCAGCTATTTCATTGTTTCCACTTTTCCTTTACTCTGTTTTTTAAGTTTAAAATCAATAAATATGAAAGTGCAGAGTATAACAGTTTTAGTTATACCTATCATTTCAATTAATGTTATTATAATCCTTTTTTAAATTTATTGTTGTGTTTTTGTGGAGAAAATAGTAACTTCGGTGAAAAATTCTTGGAATTATTCATGAAAAGTCATGGATTTGAAAATCTAAAATGTAGCAGATACCCTGTATATTGGAACATATGTGGCCCCAATAATTTCTCAAATTTATTGCTTTGCTCCTAAGGCACAAAAAAGTTAGAGACCCCTAGTTTAGACTGTTGAAATTTAATTTTTAGTGAATTCAACAATTCTTTTATGTTGCCTGATATGATTTAGTACTTTTGTTTTAAATGAGCACTAATTGTTTATTATATTTCAGACAAAGTAAGTGATTGGAGTAAAGTAGTTATTGCTTATGAGCCAGTCTGGGCCATTGGAACTGGAAAAACAGCATCCCCAGAACAAGTAGGTTTTAATTATTTTTTTTAAATTGTAGATTAGGTAGTTCTTCCTATGTTTATTTTTATTATGTCTTGTCTTATATTTGCTGTAGTTATTTTATAATTTATGAAATGTAGTAATTTTATAATTATAAGGTTTTCAAACGAATTAATGTTTATATACCAGCTTTTTAAAATGTGTAATATGTAAAAACTGATATTACTCCTCAACAATTTTTAAATCACCTTCTTGTCCTCCCGATTAAGAGAAACTCATAAAAATCTTGCTAGTTGAGAATAACATTATAAAGAAAGACGAGAATACAATTAAACATTTGTAATAGTAATCAAAATTATACATATAAACACATATAATTTTACCAGTGGGTAATTATTTTTGAAACAATGAATAAATTTTTTTTAAGGAAATACAATATGAATAAAAAGCTTACAGTGTTTTTAAGGGATGGTGACTTATTTTTACAAAAAGGGCATATCAAAGGTCAGACAGGGCAGGTTTCCCATCAAAAACGCTTAGGGAAGTACATTGTTTTCACGTATTCATAGATATTGTAAATACCACCTATTATTCATTAAGTTTGAATAGCAGTTGAAACTAACTAACCCAAATATAAAAATATTTTGACTACTCTTAGTTTTTTAAAACCTTTTTTGTATGTAGCTTTTAATAAATTATACCAGGGTGCGTAGCATTTGTAAAAAGTACTTGAAGGTGCTTTTTGGGAGATTTCGTCTGAAAGCTTTTAAAGGTGCTTTTTTCAGCTGCCGTTTTTAAAAAGTGCTTTTTTGTCATGAATATTTTTTTTCCTTCAGTGATATCTGGCGGATCCACTGCATTTCACAAAAAATGGGGTGTTTGCTACGTAATCATTCACACGGACTGCATGTCGTACCCACGTTATGGCTTGCACATGCGCGCACACTCGAAACTGAAACCCCGAGTGCTCCAATTCGGATAGAGTCAGATCCTTATTAAATTTTTTNCTCATTTCTAAACAACGTTTGTCCAGCAGTGTATTTTATAACGTAATTTAGAAAGAAAAGAAATATTTGTTTAAAAAAAATTCTGATTTTTATATTAAAAAAAAAAACTTTTGATTAAAAAAAACCCATATATTTGTTACACTTAGACAAAAAAAAACATTTTTTGATAGTAGAATTCTGTTTAATTTTCTGGATGTTGAAAAATTATATATATAAATATAATTGTTTAACAGTTACATATTATTTATAATGTATACATAATTATTTAGCAATTACAGAAGATATTTTTATAGTTTGTGCAGTACTTATAATTGTAAAAAATGAATAATGCAATATGCATATAGTTTATTTGCAAAAATTCTTCCAAAATTGTATTTATTCTAAAATTTTATGTTCTTATGTCTTAAAAATTATACAATGATCAATAGAAGTGGTGCACAAACTTTTTTTGGAAGAGTGGCACAGAAATACATTGTGGTTTGCAATAAATAGAGTTTTTATATCAAATAATTGTAAGTTAATATTTTTAGTGTAATTATTGCAATATCAATTCATCTTAAAAACTGGGAGAAAAATTTTCTTGAATTATAAAATATTTGAACTTTTGCAAGCTTTGTTTTCTGTGATAAAATTAGGTTATCGTAGGGGGAAAATAAACCATTAACTCTATCGACAAGTGAAATATAATTCTTGATGTATATTTTTATGTTGTAATTGTATGAGATCAAGTATTAATTGGAGGTATGATTTTTTTAATTTTTTTATAATGACATGCGCACGGGTATCACTCTTCAGTCCTGGGGTCTAAAATCACTCTTGAGAAAGAATCAAGAGACTAAATTTCATCAATTAATATCTCTTTTCCATTTGTTTTTTAAATTAAAGTGCCTTTTTACCTTAAAAATGTTGATTTTTTACAAAAATTTTCTATTTATTTTTCTCCTGAATTTTATACAAATTTTTGCATTTTAATGAAAACATCATTATTTTTTCATAACTATTGCAAATTGATCTACTAATGATCTTGCTCTACGATGGAAAAAAGGCATTGATTGAACTTCAACACCTGCTTGCTTGAACAAAATTTGTACTATTGTTGTATCTAAATTTGTTTAAGTGTTTATTTTCCCCTAACGTTTTAAAATGCTGACCAAAGTTAAGATTATTTATATATATACGTATATATATATGGAAATAAGTAATAAATAATGAAGTAGACTTTTAAATAGCTTCATAAAAAATTAGTGGAATATTATCCATTGATTGGTGTAAAAAGATCTAGGTTAACTATTATTTTTATCTTGTTTGCTGTGAATAAATTAACAAAATTAAAAAAAACTGAACTCAGTGGCACGACAGCCCAAAGAGGGCCAAGGCCTACTGTGCTCATCTCAGTTTTCTTGAACCTGGGATCTGGGGTGCAGGAGCAGGTGGTCAGCCAAACGAGAACTTGAAATTAGAACAAGCTTTAATATTAAATCTTAGGCTTTTTAAATGAGCCTAAACGGTCAAAATCTATCTTCACTATGTGATCTCACTGGTGACCATTCGCCGCTTTGCATTAATTAATGCCTCGAATAAGTTAATTATTACGTTTTCATTGGCTTAAACTGGTGTGGTGCATCATCGTGCATCTTGATTGAAAATTTGCTGTATTGAAATTTTTGCAAAACAGTTGTGAAAACGGTGTACTGTCAATACATCCTTTCCATAAACAGCGGATAATTTTTCTCTTGCTTGAACAGCATTTTTACGTCTTCGTTTCCAAAAAAAAAGTAAAATATGTCTGTTGTTGTTGTTAATTTACGTCGCACTAGAGTTGCACAATGGGCTATTGGCGACGGTCTGGGAAACATCCCGGAGGATGATCCGAAGACATGCCATCACAATTTTGATCCTCTGCGGAGGGGATGCCACCCACGCTTCGGTTGCCCGACGACCTGCGCGCGAGGTCGAGCACTTTACGGTAGCACAGTTTAACGAGGACCAATACCGCACACCCTCGGTCCCTACGCAGACTGATCCAAGTGGGTCACCCACCCGCACACTGACCGCAGCCAGTGGTGCTTGACTTCGGTGATCTGCTGGGAACAAAATATGTCTGAAATTCCATTTTTCAATTTCCGGATTTGAAAGGTAGGCACCATAAACTACTGTGTAGAATAGAATTAATCGACCTTTTTGCTGGAAAGTCTTACTGTTGGCGATCAAAATGGGCTACTGGTGGCGTAGAACTCTCTATCTATGGCAACACTTCGCATGTTTTCACCAGTAGCGTGTGGAGAGTCAAAGAAGAAGGAAGTACAGTACAGAACCCGTTATCCGGAAATCAGAAAACCAAAAAACCGGAACGAAATTCAATAAACTTTCCCGCCATTTTTTAAAAAAAATTATTTTTTTCCTCATAAGATTTTAGGATTTTCTTTCTTTTTTGAAAGATGTTTACCTTACCATCATTTTGGAAATAATCATTAGTGTATTACTTCATTGTTTTTTCTTCTTTTTAAGATTATTTCCAAATATTTTTTTTTAGTTGGGCATAACAATAAAAAAAAGGTTTTTTGTCGCGATTCAGAAAACCGGAAAAATCAGTTATCCGGAATAGCGATGGTCCCGATCGTTCCGGATAATCGGTTCTCTTCTGTACTTTAGTTTTAGTCTTGATTTTCAAATAGGTTAAAAACAGTTAGGAAACATATGGAGCTGAAAACTACGTTAAGCATAGTTCTAAAAGAAAGCGTGGTCTAAGTTAAAAAAAAAATCTTTTTGACAGTTAAGTATGAAAAATATTAGGAAGATCCAAAATATTATAGTACATTCCCATACAACTGAGAAGAGGAGGAGAGGGAACCGGTCTTCTCTACAGATGGCGTAATCGAGTGCTGCGATCGCGATTATCAGCTGTCAAAATGTAAATTGCGTATGCGGCTTGAATATCCCAATATTTCATAATACATTTTATGTATGAGAATGAGTCTAACTGAAAAATTAATACTAAAAGTTATGTCACTATAGTTACAAAAATTAGAAACTACTTTCTCATTGTATAAAAAGATGTAGGCTTCTATCTATAGTTGTAAAGAATTTATTAAGCAATCAAGAGTCTATAACATAATTCATAAAAAAGGATTTTATTTCCAAAAATATTTGATACTGACTGAATGTGTATGTCATATGCAATTTTTTCCCAGCGAAATGATGAAAATTCCGATACAATAAGTTATATTGCGTAAATTCAATTCTCATCAAGGAATTTTACTCATTTCTAAACAACGTTTCTTGTAAAACTACAAAAGTGCAATGGTAATAAATAACGAAAGAACTAACTAATAAAAGTGCAATTTTTTAACTTCACGTTTCAAATAAAGCATACAACATACACAAACAACTGCAAACAATGAGTCAAAAAGACATTTTTTTATTTTCAAACATCTATAATTCGCCTTCATATTTTAATCCTGATTAAATACTTCCGTAAAGTATTTGCTGTAAAGTTATTTTTCTTTCTTTCCAATCATTCACGCGTTCGTAAAGCACACTTCCTTCACAAATATATCACAGATTGAGCTGATTGTTTTCAATTCAGTTGAAATGTTTAATCCAGTTTCGAATTTCTTTGCTAATTTTCAGCTAGGTGATCCATGCGTCAAAGAAAGTTGCTAAAAAAATACAAAATTTAAAACATTTCGTTATATATATATTATAAGTTCAAAATATAGAGAAAACATGGAAAAAATTACAGAATAATGAACTAACCACCTGACTAACTAACCATCTATTATTCTAGATAAGAGCTGTTTATTTTTAGGTCTCCTTTTTTCTTAAACGACACTAAATTTTTTTCTAATAAAATTATAACTCTAAATCGACAAAACACAGCATATGACAAAAAGTAAAAATTAAATAAAATTTTGACAGCAAGTAAAAAGCATAAAAGTAAAAATAAAATTTTAACAGCAATAAGGCTATGAATTAAATCTTTCATGTATACAAATTTAGTTTAATTTAAATTATTATTTATTTAATTATTATTTAACTATTTGTTATTTATTTATAAATTATTAATTATTTGGTTATTAATTAATTTCAATTTTTGAAATAATAATCTAAATTTGAAATTATAATCTTTATTGCATTTTTTAAAATATAATTTATAAAATACAAATTAAATTTTAACAGCATAAAGGTTTTGATTTAAATCTTTTATATTTACAAATTTGGTTATAAATTAATAATTAATTTGAATTATTAATTATTTAATTATTAATTCAAATTAATTATTAATTATTTAATTATTAATTATTCAATTTTAATTATTAATTATTCAATTATTAATTATTTAATTATTAATTCACTTTTTAATTATTCAATTTTTAATTATTTAGTTATTAATTAATTTGAGTTTTTGAAATAATAATCTTTGTTATATTGCCTCTTGGTCTCAGAGAAATTTGGGTAAAGAAAGATGCTGCTGCTGTTTGACTTGCTGTTCGTAAGCTTTTATTTTTACGAAATAATTCTTAACGAAGTGTTTTGCTTACCACCAGGTGTAATTATAGCGATTAATTATAATAATTATGACTACACAATTAATCATATATTAACTAATTTCAAATATGACCACAATAAATGTGATAAAACAATATAATGAATTTACACACCATATGCGCTGTATTGCACCCAATAAGTAAAAGTGCAATGTCGCTTTTATGGAGGCATTGGTCCGTTAAGGGTTAATTCCAACAGGTCTTCAATAAGAAGGTGAAGTGTAAGTTGTTGTTACTCATCCCCCTGGTGTAAAGTTTGTCTATAGAAAGCACTCCCCTCTCCACTAAGTCTAAGGTCGTCTGCTGCAATGGAAACAAGAAATAGCGCTTTTCAAAGAGGGGAGCTTCTCTCTCCTCTAATTCCCTTTCAATCGTCGACCCAATCCAAAACCTGTCTTAAATAGTGTCTTAATAGTTAAACCTCGTAACCATAGCCACCACCACTACTCCAGACGAATGGCTAGGGCATTTCTTTACATAGACAAACTATAAGAAAACCTATTCTCGAAGTTCTGAGAACACTGAAACTGTTGGATTGAAACAATTTTGGTTAACGTATTCCTTCAGCCTCGCAAGATTAGGCTGTATACGGACTGCCGTTTTGACGCCCTTTTTAAAATTAGCCATTTTTTGAACCATATGTTTTTATAATTGTAGTGTACTAATTCCAAAACATTACCTTGACTATTTTTGAGCCAGTTTGAAAATTTCAGTAATCTTTTGATTGAGGCAGGCTATTATACCAGTTCTTTTTGTACTGTGAAACATTTCGTTTCACACTACTGCACAGTAAACATTATCAGAGATATTACTAGATTAAAAATTTCATTCGACTTCAAAAATATACGAATTGGAAATAACAGTTGACACGTTACAAGCGCTCGAATGCAGACTCCCATTTTCAAGACTTATCAAACGTGAATGAGACGAAACAAAGGTGAGTTGAAATATAAAACGGTAAGTTGCCAACGAAAAAAAATGGAAATATAAAGTTGAGAAACAAAACTAGTAAAAGTCGATTCAGTAGTAGCCATAGTAACAGGAAGAAAAAAAAGAACAAGAAAAACCACAGTGGCCGAGAGAGACAAATCAGGCTAAAATGCATTTCCTCGTCGGGCAAGTCTTGAAAATACGTGCCTGTTTTTGACAGCTGAAACATGTTGATTGTTCTATCTAATTTATATATTTCTGAAGCAAAGTAAACCTTTATTCAAGTAATACATTACTGCTTTAATTTCTTGGGATTATTTACTTAATTATTTGAGATAGTAAATAAAATTATTGTTTCTGCACTAACATTGATTTATGAAACTTTTTTTAAAACTTTAACTTACATTTCTATATTTATACTCTAACGGGTAATCAATGAGCAGGTGAAGTTCTAGTTGCGGCGGTAAGGGTAAAACACCAAAACTGCCAGGCGAGTGAGTTAAGGTGGCATATACCAAGAATGCTAAAAATGACCTTTTTCGATATACCTTTTTTCAACCTTTCAAAATATTACGCCAGTTTTTTCCCCACGGAATATTTACCTACACATGTTTACACTGTGATAGCTATTAATACATATCTTTGGCAGAAAAGTTTAAAGAAAATTATGATAGGTAGGTAGGTTCTTTTATTTATGTCACACTAGAGCTGTACAATGGGCTATTGGCGACTGTCTGGGAAACATCTCTGAGGATGATCTGAAGACATGTCATCGCAATTTTGATCCTCTGCAGAGGGGATATTTGACGACCTGCGCGCGAAGTCGGGCATTTTACAGAAGAACAGTTTAACGAGGACCGATACCGGGCACCCTCGGTTCTTATGCAGGCAGATCAAAGTGGTCACCCACCGGCTTACTGACCGCAGCTGGTGATGCTTCACTTCAGTGTTCTACTGGGAACCGTGTCTTCATGATCAGTCCACTACGGGACAAAAATTATGAACTAAGAACTTTTTAAAAAAAGTTTAAATAAAAAATCTTTCATATCTCAAACCGTATTCCTGTTAACGCTGAAACATGATCACAGCATACAACTAATATAATTTTAAATATATCTCCAAAAAATTAAAAAGCGATATCATAAAAAGTTTCTTATAAAAGATACATAAAAAAAGGTCAGTTTTAGTATTATTGATGTAAGCCCTAATGACTCTCCTTAACATATTTGATCATGCAAATTTCTAAAGATGAGGCTTTATAAAAAATCGTTATTACTGGTTGAATAAATACACAATTAGAATATTTGTTTTTCCTTTTATGTAAAATAGTACAATTTTCTTTTATTAACTGCTTCCCTGATTATCCCGAGTAAACTCGGGTATGTATAGATTGCAAATATTCATTATCCCGAGTTAACTCGGTTATGTATAGATTGCAAATATTCATTATCCCGAGTTAACTCGGGTATGCATAGATTGCAAATATTCATTATCCCGAGTTATCTCGGGTATGCATAGATTGCAAATATTCATTATCCCGAGTAAACTCGGGTATGTACAGATTGCAAATATTTATCATCCCGAGTTAACTCGGGTATGTATAGATTGAAAATATTCATTATCCCGAGTTAACTCGGGTATGTATAGATTGCAAATATTCATTATATCGAGTAAACTCGGGCATAGCAGAATTCGTCAATGCGTTTTTACTCGGACGGAAGCAAAACAAAAAACAATGATTATCTGCTGTGACTTGGAAGTTTGCCAATTTTTGTTTGGGAGTTTTGCTGTTTGTGGGACTGCAGACGTGTTTTGTGCAATACGATGGGTGCTGAATTTACACAAAAAAAATAGTAAAAAAAAATGGCGTTTGCAAGCGAAAGTAAAAGTAATGCAGATGATTTTTCAGATTAATGAAAATGTGAACATATACAAAGTCTAATATTTAACTTTTTTCATTTGCCCGAGATAATATTAAACTGATGATAAATTAAATATTTTTTACACATAAAAATATAAAAATTTCAGCTTAGAACTTGTGTATTATGTTTCGTTATAGTTCATGTACGAGTAGTATAGTAGTAGTATGTATAGTTCATGTACGATATAGTTCATCGTATTTATTAATGCAATAAGGAGATACGTTGATTTTTTGTATTTTTTTTTTCAAAAAAAAAGAAAAAAAAAATTGGTAAAGGAAGAGGCTAAAAGAAGAAAATTCAATCTTTGTAAAATGCTCTCGGTTAAAATAGACCATTACTTGTAATCATCACATGGTAGTCCGGAGCAGGGTCTCATCATTTCCGGGTGTGGACCAGGACAAGCTTCATTTTGCACCATCGATAAAATATTCTGAGATATATGTTGGACGCAGACGACGTCTCTCTTTTGAAATCCTGTCCCACATACTGCCGAACAAGGCTCCCAAGATCCTATCTGCCACCTATAACGAAATGGAATGAATTACTTTTGCTGCAAGCTCAAAATGATTAAGAATAAAAACACGAAACTGGAAGTAAATTTATGAAAATAGACTCTTTTCCTATGTTTTGGTGGTGCACAGTTCTGAAAGAATATGACTGTAAGATTCTATGTAAAATCTTAATTATCAGCTGATACTGTACAGCATTATTGTTATTACGCGACTGAAACCGGTTTGTACTTGCTTACGTGCGTGTATCAGTTGGTTAACATTGTAATGCAATACGTTAAAAATAAATACAAATGGGAAGTATGCAAAAAATATCCTGAATAAAAACCCATCACACGTATGTTTAAATATAAAAGTATTGAATATAAACATCTGCAAAACATGCAATTATTAAAACACTATAGTGCGTCTAATAATTTGGTCTAATTATTACAATATATTTAGATAATACCTGATGTAATAAATATTCTATATTTATATAATATCTAATTTATCCAATTGTCAAATTTATATTATATATCATCTAATGTAACCAATTGATTTGAAGTGCAAACCGGTTTTATCCGTGCACAAACAATAAAGCTGTATAGTATCACCTGATAAGTAGATTTTACATAGAATCTTATAGTGCGACAAATAATTCGGCCAGGGATATTGTAAGTGCTCTAATAAAAAAAATAAATAAATTCGTTTCAATTTGGAATTTAAACTGGATGAAATTTATGCATTCGATGGCTATCTACCACTTTAGTTGCAACTAATGATGTAATCATTAAGTGATAAAAAATTAAATTTTAAGATTTAGACAAGTTGCCATTTCTTGTTCGAAATACAGAGAGTTAGACCAACAGCTCCGAGAGGAGAGAAGGCCTGAGCACGGATCAATTCAGCAGTCAGACGCAGCGACTTAAACTGCGCAGTTGGGGGTAATTAGAAAGATTTCGCTACCTTTGGATTACTAAAGGATCAAATATTTTGTTCATGGTAACTCGTGCTGAGGTCTTCTCTCTTCTAGGAGGTATTGGTTGTCGCTTGATGCTTCTGTTTAGGAAGCTTCAGTGGAGCTGCGTGCTTGTGTATTGGATATTTTTGTGATTCAAGAGCGGCTTGTATATGGACAAAATGAGGGCGAGATTTTGGAGATGAGTAATTACTTCTGTTCCCACTGCCCACAATAATTAAAATGGTAACCAAATAGCAATTAAGGTATTGTTATTAATTTTGCTAGCCCTTAAATCTTCAGGTGGGGTTAAAAAAATTGAATCAAATTTATTGAATCCAACTAAGTGATTAAGCCTAAATTTTATGTATATATATATACGTATATAGGAAAAAAATATGTTTATGAAGGACACCGTTGTTCCATCTGTGTCAAAGGGTGAAAACGAGAAAAAAAAGGCACGGACCTGAACGTAAGAGTTTAGTGAAGAAACACAGACGTANAAAAAAAAAAAAAAAAAAAAAAAAAAAAAAAAAAGTGCTTACTTTGCTGTACATGGCTGAGAGTTGCAGGGCCAAATTCCTGTTTCTCCTGGTTTATTTATGTTGGCGCAGAAACCATCATCGACTACAGTACTTCCAGTTTGGCATAAGACAGTAATATTTTTAAAACCTTTAAAAACAAAGAATTATTATTTGGCATAATTGATACCAGTATATGTAAGTGCAAAATTTATTTTTATATAACTTTCTGCAAAATTAAAAGAAAAAGACATGTTTATAATTTTATTTTATCATTACATAATTCATTAAATATTGTAGTGTGTCAGGCGCTAATAAATATTTATTACAGATATAATTTATTAATAAAATTATTATTATAATATAAATAATAAGCGTTAATAAATATTGATAGAATTGAGTAAATATTTATTACAGAAAAGAACAAAATCCTAATCGAAATTTAACGATATCGTGATTGAGAAAAGTGGAACTGGAAACATCTAAACATGTTTGATTGCAGAATGAAACGGAGAAACGGTTATAAGAAACACTTCCAAATTCCACTCAGCAATCAAACTAGTTTCGATGTTTTTAATACGTCTTCTTCTTTAGATTCTCATCCTGATTTCTTATCCTCGCGTAACATAGCGCACACTCACGTGAGTTGAGCTGCTCTACAGAGTTACAGCAGAACAATGAATGTGAAAGTGCAAAATTTCTCTTATAGAATGATTTCTCATCCTCGCGAAACATAACGCACACTCACGTGAGTTGAGCTGCTCTACAGAGTTACAGCAGAACAATGAACGTGAAAGTGCACAATTTCTCTTATAGGATGATTTCTCATCCTCGTGTAACATAGCGCACACTCACGTGAGTTGAGCTGCTCTACAGAGTTACAGCAGAACAATGAACGTGAAAGTGCAAAATTTATTTTTTAGAATGATTTCTCATCCTCGCGTAACATAGCTCACACTCACGTGAGTTGAACTGCTCTACATAGTTACAGCAAAACAATGAACGTGAAAGTGCAAAATTTCTCTTATAGGATGATTTCTCATCCTCGTGTAACATAGCGCACACTCACGTGAGTTGAACTGCTCTACAGAGTAACAGCAGAACAATGAATGTGGAAGTGCAAAATTTCTCTTATTGAATGATTTCTCATCCTCGCGAAACATAGTGCACACTCACGTGAGTTGAGCTGCTCTACAGAGTTACACAGCAGAACAATGAATGTGGAAGTGCAAAATTTCTCTTATAGAATGATTTCTCATCCTCGCGAAACATAGCGCAAACTCACGTGAGTTGAGCTGCTCTACAGAGTTACCGCGCACACTCACGTAAGTTGAGCTGCTCTACAGGGTTACAACAGAACAATGAACGCTGAAGATAAAAAACGTGAGTGCTACGCGAGAGTTTATTACCTCCACCACATGGTGAGCTGCATTCAGACATTTCCACTACCCATCCATAGACAAGTTTGGTGGTGCTGGTTCTCCATTGTTTCTTGTTGGCGTACACTTTATTAGACCCATGCATGGAGGCGTACCATTTCTTGTAAGCGATGAGATGGTTGTTATTTATGCCATTCATTACGTGATTGCTACCTGAGGTGTCGCGTCTGATTCGGCTCAGATATCTTCGAATATCATACATTGGAGTGTTTTCTATGCATGAAAGAGAAAAAATTAGATATGGACAAGTATTTGAAATTTTATATCCTGAAAACAAGATTTAGAGTTGTAAATTAAGCTGTTTAAACTAGAGTAAGTTTTAATTCTTAAGAACTTATATTAACCACATTAATAGTTACAACTAAAGAAGTCACTCTCCAAAGAATGTATTAATTTCATCAAGTTTAACCTTCTCCTTACGGCTAGTACATTAACTGAACCAGAATGAGCTTCATAATACTAAGCGCAGTAAGAGAAAGGTAAAATTCCAAATTAAGATAACTATTTTTTAATTAGAGCACTTATTATCTTTCAAAACTGTGCGTCACCAAAACATTGAAAAGAGAGTGTAATTATAAATTTACCATCATTTTCGTGTTTTTAAATTTCCTCATTTTGAGCTTGCTTTTGCACCAAAACAATTAATTCCATTTAGGGATCTTGGGAGACTAGTTCGGCAGTACGTGAGACAGGATTAAAAAAAAAAAATCCCTGAGAGTTTGTGTATAATGGATGCAAGTTGAACTCAAGTTAACGTTGAACCAAAGTATATATTACGCCCAAAATAAACTATGTTTAAAATAATTATTATAAAGAAATATAGTGACAATAAAAGTAATAAAAAACACATAAAAATCCAAAATTTTTATCAAGCAGTATTGCTTTTATATGTTAAAATTTCCCAGTATGTTGGACAACGGTAAATCGTTTATCAGATGTAACTTTCGTTTCACATGTTTACGGAATAAAATAACTCCATCTGCAGAAAATAAACGTTCACAAAACTCAGAGATAAACTACTTCAAAAAAGTCTTAAAATTGAAAAAAAGATTATTTTTTTTAAAATACGGATTTCGAAAGAATACTGTTACTTTTTTTATTCTACATATCATTTTTTAAAAATAAATAAATAAATGCACCTGATTTAAAACACTATCTGCCTACCTGTGTATACGCTATAATATATTTTATATGTTATACACGTTTAATATATTATACATTGCCGGGAAAGCCTGGATTAAGATCCATGAAAACCTTATTTGCATTGTTCATTATTTCTCTTGATATAAAGTTTTTTGTAGTATTATCGCAGTTATATAACCGTTACTGGATTAAGATCCATGAAAACCTTGTTTGCATTGCTCATTATTTCGCTTGGTAGTAAATATTTAAGAGAGAATAAAAACAAGCCAATGCATGAATACTAACCTGTCGATGCCGGAATGCCATCATCATTGAAATGCTGTAAAAAAATTATTTAACGAATTATTTTAAGACAACCATTAATTTGATAGAGTAATATCACCATCTCATAAAATTATTTCCAGAGGAATCAAGCTATCTTTATATAAGTTTAGTTACAGTGCGTTAGCCTATAAGTTCCATAAGTACAGTTTAAAAGAAAACTTTAAGCATATGGGGTAAAATCATTTTGTACTAATTAGTATTTTAAAATTAGAATAGCTATGATTATTATTGATAAATTAGAATAGCTGGATGAATAAAACTATTTCTAAGTTTAATTACAGTACGTTACTTTATAAGTTCTATAAGTTTAGTAGATATTAGAGAGCTAGGCGCAAATGGGTGAAAATTACGATGCACTAGTTATTAAATTTTATAAATTAAACAACTATGATTATTATTGATAAATTAGAATAGCTGGATGAATTAAGCTATCTCTTAATAAGTTTAGTTACAGTACGTTAGCTAAGTTCTGTAAGTTTAGTTTATTAAAACGCTAGGCACAAATGAGTTAAAATTACGCTGCACCAGTTATTAATTTTAATAAATTAAAATAACTATGATTATTTTTGATAAATTAGAACAGCTGGGTAAATTAAGCTATCTCTCTATAAGTTCTGTAAGTTTAGTTTAAGAGAAGGCTAGTTACAATAGGCTAAAATCACTCCGAACTAGTAATTTAAGGTTTATAAATGAGAATAACTACGATTATCATTGAAGAATAAGAATATCTGGATGGAATTAAACTATCGCTAAATAAGTTAAGTCACAGTACGTTAGTTTATAAGATCTATAAGTTTAGTTTAAAAGAACGCTAGAGTCACGCAAGGCACATTATTAGCAAAATCACGTTGCACTAATAGCTCATGAATTAGAATAGCTGTGATTTCAAACATGCATAAAAACATAAATAATTAGGAAAGAGGAGATAAGTAAAACAATGTAAATGAAAATCAGCATTATACCAAACAGCGGCCATTTAAGCAGTAGCCCCTTGTCCGGTGATCAGGACTGCAATCGGTTCCGAAAGGAAATTTCCCGTCCTCATAAACATCCATTTGGTAATGAGTATCTTGCCACACTCTATCTTGGCATGCAACAATGCAGGCGGAATGGGGATTACCTGCAAATATTTAGAGACATTGTTTAAAAACCGAGATTTACAATTAAAATTTTAAAGTTATGTCTTTCTAAAAAAAAAGGTGCTTATTCACATTTTCACGTTTACTTTTCTGGTAAATTTAAAATATCATCGCAAATTGTTTTTCTCCTAACCTTTACCCTAACGCTCAGATTAAAAATTTACATACATCGAAGCGTATAAAGAGTAGAAACTAGTAAAAAAAAAATAATTCGAGCTTGTTTTAGGGAATAAAAAAAAGTAAAATATTTACGATATAAGGGATAGTATAAGAAAAAGTAAAATATCTACGATATAAGTAGGTATTTTTACTTCCGATATTATGCAGTTTCTCTTGCTAACTTTCTGGGCATTTGAGTAAAATGTAGCTGTATGTACAGATTATGATGTTTAAGCTTCATGGATTAAAATAGCAATTGATGTTTAGGCATTGTGGCATCCCTACACAAGAATGCTGCTATTCGTCTTAATGTGCTGTCTTCCTTAAAGTTTTTGAAGAAGAAAATATCATCAAAATTGGACGGAAAGGCATCTTTTGACTTTCTCATGAAAGTTAACGTTTTGGCAATATGTTGGTACAGTCTGTCAATGCTGAGATCCCTGCAAATGTCGCTATTCCTGAATTACCAACTGGTTTTTGTCTACTTTCTGGGGATGTCAATTATCTGCGATTAATCAACATACGTAACAAAGTAATCAACACACATGCATCAACATACGTAACATAGCTACGATTAATCAACATTCTCAGAGTGTTGGTTAAGGCCAGGTGGTATGCCTGAAATAACGGCATTCACAGGGACCTCAGCATAGACAGACTTGATTAACAAACTGCGAAATTTAACTTCAATGCTTTTGAGAAAGCCAGAAGATGCCATGCTACTCATTTGATGTCGTTTTTCTCTTTGAAAAGTTTAAAGAAGAAGAATAGCAGCCTTCTTAAACTTTTTTGAGAAAGTCATAAAATACCATCCCATCCATTTTGATGATGATTTTCTCCTAGTAAACTTTAAAGAAGACAGCACAATAAGACCAATAGCAGCATTCTTATTTAACATTTTTGAGAAAGTCATAAAATACCATGCCGCCATTTTGATGATGTTTTTCTCTTTATTAACTTAAAAGAAGATAGCATAATTCGACACAATGTCTGAACATCAATAGGTAACTTATTCCAGAAAGCTAAAGCACCATCATCTGTACATACAACTACATTTTACTCATCCGCATTGCACAGCTGTAAATATCGCGCATCATCACCAGTGCCTTATAAAGTAATGTACAATAAAGCTCTTTCCCCATAAAAAGTCCTTCCGGCCACTAATCATCACAATGGCCTCAGGCGCCTATCAAAAATATGAAGATGTAGAAAGACTATATAGAGATAAATAGTTTACAATTGAAAATGGTTATAGCTTTATTTACCTTTTTGGAAAGCCAAGTAAAAATGAAATGGTTTACTATCAGTTTTTAACTTCACCCGTCTTATTTTTAGACCCGGATTTCGACACCCATTTTACGATAGTGAAAAATAGTGGTCGCGCATTTATGATTAAAATATGTGGTTATTTATTTATCTAATTAGCTACCAGTTTAGCTTAAAAAAGTCAAAAGTAAACATTGTCAGTGCTACTAAAATTGATTGGCTTAGCTCATTCAAGGTAACAATAAAATCATTTTTGGATATGCCGTTGTCCGTGGCAACTCTGGGATTGGCATAAAAGCCCCGCTCGCATCCAAATGAGGCCATCCTCAGTGGTAGACGGATCAGGGGTTAGAGTCCCCCTGCCGTAGGGTTAACCGTGGGAGGATTTCGCGATTTTCCTTTCCATATAACGCAAATGCAGGTTAGTTTCGTCAAAAAGTTCTCTACGAAGGCAAATTTCTCTCAATATTTGATCCAAGAGTTTCCTTGTCTTCTGGATTGGGTTCAAAATTACGAGACTATGGAGTTGAACATTGGTAATCGTAAACTCAGAATTAGGTCGGGTGTTCTATGCCGGTAATAAAATAAAAACCCCATACATAAGACAGTAGTACCAACTTTACTATCTACATCATTTGATATAGGTTGAAGGTGAACATTTTTAAAATGAGAAGTAGTTAGTCAAGAGATTTAAATATTATTTATGTGGAGCTTAATAGTGGTACTAGTTTTATGCTGCATTTATGAAATGTTATCTATGTATAGCTTTAATAGTGGTACTAGCTTTATGCTGAATTTATGAAATGTTATCTATGTATAGCTTTAATAGAGGTACTAGCTTTTTGTTGAATTTATGAAATGTTATCTATGTATAGCTTTAATAGAGGTACTAGCTTTATGCTGAATTTATGAAATGTTATCTATGTATAGCTTTAATAGTGGTACTAGCTTTATGCTGAATTTATGGAATGTTATCTATGTATAGCTTTAATAGAGGTGCTAGCTTTTTGTTGAATTTATGAAATGTTATCTATGTATAGCTTTAATAGTGGTACTAGCTTTATGCTGAATTTATGGAATGTTATCTATGTACAGATTTAATAGTGGTAGTAGCTTTACGCTGAATTTAAGAAATGTTATCTATGTATAGCTTTAAAAAGTGGTACTAGACTTATGCTGAATTAAAATTTCGATCAAGACTTGCCGGGTTGTGGTGGTAGTTGTCTTCCTTTCCCGCTGAGTACAGTTGGATATTTTACTCGGTATCTTTGACATACTTCATTGGCATACTGATCTACAGATTTAGGTGTACCACATGTCTGCAAAAGAGAATATTATTAATAAATAGAGGTACTGTTTTTTTAAATTTAATTTCGAATTTCGTACTATATCACAATATCAAGATCATACCGTTAAGGGAGCGTCACATAGCTGGAAAGTGTCTCGTTGACCAGGACAACCAGTACTGAAAAGAGGTTTCAAACAACTATTTGTCACAAAAATCTGGTTTAAAAATAAGACAGTCGTGTTCAAGTATGTGTTAAAATTTTGCTGTGATTGTTAAAGGAGTTTTAATTTAGGGTTAAATATTTTTTTTACAGTAGCTTAGTAAAGGTAACATTAGACTATTTTTGAAATATTTTTCTGCTTGAACAATGAAACGTTATTGTTTGAAAGGTACCAAAATATTTTTGATTTTATTTTCAATGTCCACCTGTGTTAAGATTTTGCCAATTCAGGCATTTACAGGGCAGATTTTCAAGATATGAAATATGAGAATATGAACATATGTAAATGTAAATATGAACATATGAACTGCTTAAATTTTTAAATAATCAAGTAATTTTTTTAAATTTATTTTAAGATTTTTTTTCAAAGGTGAGAACATATACGTATAAACAACTTTCGATAACAATCTAAGCTCTTCAGATATAAAAGTGATTTGCAAGATTTTTTCAGTGTTAGATTCGATATTTATTTTTCAACATGTGTGATTAAAATATTTTAGATTAAAATAAGATTCATTTTCAAAAGTATTAATCATTTTACGCCATTCAATTTTTGTAAGTGCAAGTGCAACTACTTACACTGAATTGCATTCTCTAGACACCAATTGGAATCCTTTTCCTTTAGCCATACAAGAAGGTCTACACTGGCTTACTTTGTGCCATGGGCCCCAACCAGATTCAGATAGAGATGGTTGAGGACCCGGGGATAAAGCAGAGGCACCTGATACAGCTAAAATGATACAAAAAAAGAAGCATTGATTTCTTAATGGATCAGACTTTGTATTAAATATGATATTTTAATGAGTTAGATGTTAAATCTTACTTGAAGAGCATCTCAAGTCGTTAGCGCTGTCCGTGCTGTAGCCGTTACAATCGAAAGGCTAAAAATACATGAAAATTATAGCGGCTACAATCAAAAGGCGGTTACAATATATGAAAATTATAGCCATTTCAATCAAATGGCTAAAAACATATGACAACTATAGCCATTACAATGAAAAGGCTAAAAATATATGCAAATTACAGCCATTACAATAAAATGGCTGAAAATATATGACAATTATAGCCGTTACAATCAAATGGCTAAAAATGTATGACAATTATAGCCGTTACATTCAAATGGCTAACACTATTTGAAAATTATTATGAAAATTATAACCGTTAGAATTAAATGACTAAAATTATATAAAATCAGTAGGAAAATTTTGACTGTTACAATCAAATGGCTAAACATGTATGAAAATTATAACCGTTGCAATCAAATGGCTAAAATATATAAAGATTATAACCGATATAATCAAATGGCTAATGAAACAAGAACAAATAGTTATAAATAAATAAAAGGCTAAGTCAGGATTGCAGAAAAAGTGAGTTTTTTTCAAATATAGTAACCATGGTCCCTGTTTTAACAATATATCTATAAACAACTAAAACTAAATTTTATTACAATCTTCACTTCTTATGAAATGCAGTGCGTTTGAGCTAAGAAATAATATTTTTTATTTCCTTTATTGAAAACAAAATTATTTCTTTGAAAATATCGCCTCACACAATAAGCAGCTATAAACTTTCTATCTGGAAGTCGGAAAGGAAAGGTGCAATGTCCGAAATATTTGTTACGTCCAATTTGAAAATTAATTTAATAATTGATATATTAATATCCAATTTGAGTAGATTGGGAAGAACACACCAGTGTTGGGAATACCGGGCGGATGTGGGGATAATAACTGGTATTCTCCATCCTGGTGTTTTTTAAGATTAAAAATCTTCGTTTGTAATATACTTGAACGATATTTCCTACACTGATATTTTTTTTAAAATTAAGTACCATTACCCATTTTATACTTGCTTTGCATTCCCTTCTCTGACAATTTCTTAAAGTGCCATTACCCGGTATTCCCTACACAGTTGTTTTTCATTATCTATCCGAATTGGATATTAAAATATCGAATAAACATTGAAGTATCGAATAAATATTGAAATATCGAATAAATATTTAAATATCAATGAATAGATTAAGATCAAATCGGACATAACAAATATTTCATACATTCACCAAAACGATTACGTCATTGTTAACATTCACCGGTGACTCACATTCTGCAGATTTCGGTCTTTTTCAGTACCATAATATATATATATATATATATAAGTATATNATTCGAAATGGGGCCCCGCGTACCTAGGGCCCCGCGTACGCTTAATCCGGCCCTGTATACATTGCACACCACAAAGAAAATGTTAAGCATTTCATAAGAAAAGAATGCGTTAAACATTTTAAAATGCTATAATAATTGCTTACTTTTAAATCGATATTACGAATTCAGTTTAAATTAAAATTTGAATTAAAAAGATAGAAAAACGAAGAAAATTAATTAATTTTATTAACTGTGCATAAGCTGTATATAGAACTCATAAAATAAGTTAAAATATTGAGAAAATATGGAAAATAATAAATCACAAGAGAAGAAGAAAAATTAATAAAATAAACTATTTTTAAAAATAATTTTATTTTAATAATTTTTCTTCTTCTCTTGTCATTAATCTTTATTATTTTCTTCGTTTGCCAATCTTTTCCTTCTATCCTTCTTGCCTTTATTGTATATATATAGATATATAATGTATACTTCAGATTTTGTTTACTTACCTGACATTCGCCTTTCACGCAATACATATTTTGATTATTATAACCTCTCCAACAAGGAGTGCCATCAGGTATTGTCCATCCTTGAGTCATATAACCTCCTCCTCGTTTGTGACACCAGACGTAACAGGAGTGTGAATCTGGAAACAAAAATTACCTTAAATGTCTCTTATATGTTATGTATATTTATTACAGTAACTTTAATTGTTTTAAATGTCTCTTATGAATTACTTTCAATGCCTCTTATGTTATGTATATTTATTACAGTAACTTTAATTGCTTTAAATGTCTCTTATGAATTACTTTCAATGTCTCTTATGTTATGTAATTTTATTAAAGTAACTTTAATTGTTTTAAATGTCTCTTATGAATTACTTTCAATGTCTCTTATGTTATGCATATTTATTACAGTAACTTTAATTGTTTTAACTGTCTCTTATGAATTACTTTCAATGTCACTCATGTTATGTATATTTATTTCAGTTTTTAAACTATGCAGGGTTTCCTATAATCCACTAAAAAAATAATTTAATTGCAATATAATAGTAGATAAAAATAGTAATAATAGTAAATAATGTAAAATAAAGTTAGTAATATAATAGTAAAATAATGCATAGTAAACGTGTCTTCAAACTAGGCATGTATTTTCTGAGTGGATTGAATGTTTTTCGCCCGTAGAAGACAAGTTTCAATTAAATGTAATTGTGTCACCAAATTATTTTGGTAATCAAGAACGTTTTACGTTTAAAAATGACTTCTACAAAGATAATTTGAGTGAAATTTAATCTAAGAGTTCTTCTATATTAGTTCGAAATTACACACAACTCCGTTAAGTCCGTTCAATTACAACTCTGTTAAAAATTGACTGTACAACGGTGGTGATAAAATGAAATAAAACTATAAGTAAATAACTTTTACAATAATTCTACAGAAATCTTCTAGCTCTAAAGGATTATTGAAAAGTCTAAATCTGATACAACAATAAGCACAAAGAATAATTTAGTTCTTCTGAATATCTTACTTTCTTAACTAGGGAATTGACGAACAAATAAGAATTAGAAACAACTAACTGTACCTGTGAACCCGTTTAGTTTTTGTGAATATCTTACTTCCTGGAGTGAGGAATTGGCAAACAAATAAGGTCAAGAAACAACTGTATCTATGAAGCTGTTTAGTTTTTGTAACGACTTTATCGACAAACAAATAAGCACTAGGAGCAACTGTATCTATGAAACTGTTTACTTTTTGTGAATATCTTACTTTCTTGACTGAAAAATCGACAAACAAATAAGCACTGGAACAACTGTTTCTCTGAACCTCTAGTGTTTTTATGAATATCTAACTTTCTTTCATGGGGAATTGACAACAAATAAGAACTGGGAACAATCATATTTATGAAACTGTTTAGGTTTTGTGAATATCTTATTTTCTGGATTGGGAAATTGGCAAACAAATAAGCACTCGAAACAACTGCATCTATGAAATTGTTTAGTTTTTGTGAATATCTTACTTTCTTGACTGAAAAATTGACAAACAAATAAGCACTGGAACAATTGTTTCTCTGAACCTGTAGTGTTTTGATGAATATCTCACTTTCTTTCATTAGGAATTGACAACAAATAAGAACTGGGAACAATCGTATCTATGAAACTGTTTAGTTTTTGGGAATATCTTACTTTCTGGATTGGAAAATTGGCAAACAAATAAGCACTAGAAACAACTGTATCTATGAACCTGTTTAGTTTTTGTGAATATCTTACTTTCTTGACTGGGGAATTGAGTTCCTGTGATTTCCAAAGTGTTGTCTCTGGTTGACGCTTGACGACAAGTGTCACTAATGAATTCATCCAGCATAAGTTTTCTGGTCGATAAAGCACATATCTGAAAGGAAAAGAAATCAAATTGAAATTAAAATATAAATTGACTTTAAATATTAATGCCATGTCTAATGACACGATAGTCAGATGCAGTTGCACTGCGCTTAACTCATGATTCACAACGGCAGTGTTTCATTAAGAAGGAATTTATGTATAACAAACAATTTGTATTAAATAAGATTGAATTTAAGATGGAATGCTAATGGATGGAAGATTGAATTGCTAATGGTAAGATGGAATGCTCAATGTTGGAATACTAAGAGGGAATGTTCAATATTAGAATGTCAGGAGGGAATGTCTTTTTAATAAAAATTTCATTACAGATGTATATGTCAGGCACCATTTATAGAGGATTTGTTCACCTCAATGTGACGCATTTAATTCCAATTCAATTTTAAATGGCAATTTTTTTCTGAACTATCTAACTGTAAGTTAATTTCGCTTAATTAATCCAATTAGTATAAATGTCATTTAATTAATTTCCAAAATATTAATTAATTCAATAACGAGAGAATATAAGTTAACGTAAACTTACTCTTGTTGCATCACAAGTAAGCACTCGTCTGTCTTTACCAACACAAAATCTGCCGCCATTTTGAGGCCTGTAAAGAATTTAGGGTTTGTATTAAACTAAAATTATGATATGAATTAGAATGATAAGGTATTTTAAAATTATAAACACTTAACAAACTTCATGAATACTTTGAGTTCCTAATTTTTAAGCAATTTTAATTGTTATACTTTTTAATTAGTTAGTTAAACTCATAAAAATTTCGCTGAACATAACGATTAACATTTAGAGGAAATTCAAAACATTCATAAATTTTATATCTGAAAAAGTACTACTTAACTGTTTATGATAAAAAATGCTACATATATTACATATGTGGCTTAAAAGTACATTTTCCTACGTCTTTCAATTACATTTCCAGAGCATGTTTATTAGAGCATGTTGTAAGTAAATTGTATGCAGATCTAACCTATTATATTTCAATTATATATAAAATCTACTTATGTATTATTGACTATAAGCTCACTCCAGCGTAGGCTATATGCATGCATTAACTTACTATATGATACTATATTTAAAGTCAACACGCAGTTTACTAAAACATAGTTAAATGATAGAATACTCTTACCGTGGATTGTCACATCTTCTAGTGGATACCATTATTCCAACAGCAGGTGCAGATCCTCTGGCTACGCAATCTGATGTGCACGGACTATAGGAGGACCAAGCACTCCATCCCCCATCAATCACGCCACTTCTCAATGTACCAGGAGATCTCTGAATGTGTACACACATGCCACCTTGACACACCTGTTGATATACAAGAAACATATTCCTTGAGACTTTATTCAAGAACAACCAAAGTCACAATATCTAAACATTGAGTTATACTTTATCATAATTCATACAATTTATTGGAAATATTCCTTGCTAAGGATTTGACCGTAGTATAGCTCTCATGTGTCCTCTCGTTAGTTCTGCGCAGTGCAGTTACTACAAAACACACTCGGACCTCCATTGTTAAATCATGCGAGATACGAATCATGCGAAATCTCTCTATTTTTTTTCAACTAATGTAATTAAGGCCGAGATGGCCTGGTTGGTAGGGCACTGGGCTCATGTCCAAGAGTTCGTGGGTTCTATCCCCGTGAGACACGTTAAATCTGTCCAGATGCAAAGTCCTCCATGCTCCCATCACAATTCAATACCTCTGGGGGTACTGATCCAGGAGTTTCCTTGTCCTTTGGATTGGTTCAAAATTACAAGGTTACGGAGTTGAACTTTACTAGTCGTAAACTCAAAATTGTGTTGGCTATTCAACGACGGATATTATTAAAACTAAAGTAATTTGATTTGAGCCATGCTGACATTGGGGATAGAGTGTTTGCCTCTCAATGAGGCGAACCGGGTTCGAATCGCAGCAATGTCTCGTGGTTTCTCTCTCCAAGTAACGTAAATGCGGGTTAGTTTTATAAAAAAAAAGTCCTCTCCGAAGGCAAAATTTCTCCCAATACTTGATCTTGGAGTTCCCTTGCCTTCTGGATTGGGTTCAAAATTACATAGTTACGGAGTTGAACACTGGTAGTTTTAAAATCTGAATTGGATCAGCTGTCCTACGACTGTTGTAGAATAAAATTAAAAAATAAAATAATTTTTTTTATCCCCTTAATGTTTGATTTTTGTTACGATTAATGATTAGGGACATACTTTGCTTAACATACAAAATTCCGGAGGATAATAACAATGATTGTTTTTGGACTAAAGGCCAGTGATAAAAACCAGCCTCTGAGCTAATATCATGGAATGATCAGTGCCATAAACATATGTGATTTGCTTAGAAACAGAATTTAAACATTACATAAAACATGTCTTTAACATTACATAAACATCTCTTTAATTTTTAAAATAAAACCTTAAGGAGAAAATTAAAAAAAGCTATATACTGTGTACAAAATAAAAATAATGTAAATATCCTGAATAACTTTTGATTTAATGATCAGATTTTCACATACTAGGGTTCAGTCTTAATGATTCAAGAGTGCAACTAAAAATATGTTATTTAATTAATACAAACGCTGTTTTAAATTGCGAAATTTCACAAAAAGGAACTTTCTCCGAGACAAATGTTGTGACGGATTGAAAAACGTTGTATATTTAAAATTTGATTCCTCAAGATATTGATATAGTTAAAATTTTGTATTTTGTCAGTTAAAATAACTTTATGTATAATAATAGAAAAATTGGTGTACCTTAAAATTTAAAATTCTTTCGACGAATTTTAAATAAAATAATGAAAATCAATAAAGAATTATCAAAAATTATTTATTGCATGAAATTGTCTTCGGATAAATTAATTTTATAAATGTGTGCAAAATTTTTGAATTTTATAAAAAAAGCCCCAGAAATACGACGAAAAACGCAAAGTATACTTTCAAATTTTCGACCGCCGCGCTGATCAAATTAATGGCACCTTAGTTCCTAGATTGCAACTATTTTCCCATATTTTGAGGGTCAAAAATGTTTATGCAGAGAACGTACGTTTGCGTGTTTGATTTTATAACTTTAAATATCGACAGCATAAATTAATGTGCGCATTTAAGGTGAGGCTCTCGAACCATTAAGATTAAGTCCGAGAACATAAAAATCCGTAACTCCGGGATTAGATCAAAAGTTATTCAGAGTGTTCACTTTTTCGTTCTGCGCACTGTTCTTCGGATAACTTGTATAAAGCGCAGCTTTGAGAACATAATGGATATCACTATACGAAATATTTCCTGATTAGTGTGGTGCTTAGAGAACAGCACTCATTATTCAGTTTACTTTAACAATTACCATCTTTAAAACTTACTTTATCTCTACCACAACTTGTTCCCTCTAGAGCAGGATGGGCAGCGAATGATACACCTTTGCTTCCATATCCTGTGTCACATCTCAACATTCTGCATATTTCCTGGAAAATAAATAAATTATAATGGTTACCCAAACGAAAAGTAGACAAGAAATACAGTAACGATTGCAGCGCCACCATTCATGATTATAGAGGAAGGAAATTTTTTAGTAATAAGGAAATTTTTACTTTTGAGAACTTGAGAGAAGTCATAAACCTCAGGGCAGCTTATTTTTTGTAGCAACGCAAGTTTTCTGAATAAAACAATATTTAATTCTCTTTTCACTCCAATTCCATTCAAGTTACCAGAAAGAGCCACCTTAAAGATAAAATTTCAAGATGGACGGGAAAAAGGCCATTTACGGCCTCAGGTATCCAGATAAATTTTGATGATTATAAGAACGAACAGAAGAACGTGAAGTCGTACGGCTTTCAGAAGCAGAAAGTTCCTTTACTTAACCTAAGGATTGCATCGATGATACAAGTCACAACACATCGGTTACCCCATACTATTTCATCAACAGCAGCATGGGATATTTTTTATTATTCCTTGTTCTATTCTGAGTAGTAGCCGTTAATGACTTCCACCTTTTCAAAATTTATTCACAATCGCTTATATTCCAGACAGTGTTCGCCAACAGCAGCAAAAGATTCAATGGAGATTATAGTGTTCGTTTGTAATGTCCTGAATCTTATCAGATCCGTTATTGATGTCCACCATATAAAAAAAAATTTACACACCATTTTTTCACAGCCGTTTATTCCAGACAGTGTTTGCCAACAGCAGTAAGGGATTCAATAGACATTATGCCGTTCATTTGTAATGTCCTGAGACTTAGGAGATCCGTTATTGATCCATCCAACATTTAAAAAAACTCTTACATACCATTTGTTCATAATTTTTTATTCCAGACAGTGTCCGCCAACAGCAGCAAAGAATTCAATGGAGATTATGACGCTCATCCGTAATGCCCTGAGTCTTGGCAGATCCGTTAGTGATCCATCAATCATTTAAAAAACTTTTACATATCATTTGTTCATAATCGTTCCAGACAGTGCTCGCCAACAGCAGCAATGACTTTATTGGACATTATAGTGTTCGCTTGTCTTGTCCTGGATCTTGACAGATCCGATATTGATGTACACCATTTACGAAAACTTTTACATCATTTGTTCTCAGTCGTATATTCCAGACAGTGTTTGAGACAGTGAGTAAATAGTTAATAAATGGCATGGCCCTTACCTTCAGGTACTAAAATTATGCTATTTCGCTAAGTTTCATTCGAAAGCATGCGTTTTAGCATGAATCAACATTAAGTTTAAATGGAACTGATTATTCAGTTATACGCTATGAATGGTGCATTTCAATAGTCTTAATGATAAATCTAAAGAGTGGGGAATCTAGTGCATTTTTGACATTAAAACATTCTTCATTTTGTCAACACCCATAAATATAACTTTGCCTTATTCCTCATAAGTTTTAAACACCATGAAAATAAATAAATCAATTAAACTATATACAAAAAAAAATTTAACATGTTCTTACCTCCGCTGTTTGAAGATTAGATCGTCGACTACCGTCACCGTAACGAAGAGAACACTGGTAATCAGCATCATACACTTGTCCTGGTAACTTGTCTGGGGGAGGTTCCAATAGATCTGTTGTATATGGACTAGGCGCAAGAAGGCAGCTCGCTTGCTGAGATCTATTTTGCATAATAGTACAATACGTTAATTTCTTAAAAATGCATAAATATGTAAAATTAAGGCTGAAACTTTTTTCCTACATAATATATATATATATA